TTTTTGATATATTCTTTTAAGTAAGTAAAAATAGTACAACTACCGCATGATATCAAGTAAGCCCCTTCTCCAATTGTGAATTCGGAACCTTGCGGTTTCAAAGCCAAGCATTAAAATGAAGCTTGTATTGTAGTTCACACCATTTATCTATAAATCTTTGAAGTCAATCTTTAATATGCCAGTATTACAGTTTGTTCACCAAATATCAATTAATTTGAAGAGGGTCTGATGAGCCTGAACAAATATTTAAATAGATCAGGTTTCTGATCAACATTTCTGGTTCATGAACAAGATAAATCTTATATGGTAGATTACTAAGAATGTTGAAATCTAGAATGATATACACCTTGTTCCCATTATTATAAAAATATTTTTTTGTTGTTGGATCGCTGCCACCAAATATGTAGAAACGTTGATCAGTATTATTCTTATCCACCCAATTTTGTTTGATGTTATAGTCTTCAATATATTTTTAAACAAAGACTTTTGTATTGATTAATATTTGTCATGACATGAATCATTGTTTTTATCCAAAAACCATGGCCTCTTTTGATTCCCACAAGATAATAGTGTTAATAAAGCGGCTTTAAGCATTTTAAGATATCGTTCAGTTTTACGATTAAACTAATTTACTCGTATGAGTGCAATTATGTGAGTCTTACTAGCAATTCTTATTGTTAGGAGAAATGGGTAATAAGATATTTTGTGTAATTTGTATGTTATTTTATGACAATGAATACTATCGATACACGTGTACATAACATTGTAAGAGATGAAGAATCAAATATACTGCGTAGTTTGTATATTAACCATTAGATGGATGTGCATGGGTACATAACTTTTTAGATATAGTATCATTTTCTACTGGCTCCCTATCTAATAGAACAACTATCTTTCTCATTTCCTGTATTTGATTGGAAAATCAATCAAATGATGCAATGAATATAGCTATGATGATGTAAAGTATACCACTTTGACAAGTCGCGAGTTCGCTGGCACGTGTCGCGAAATCGAAGAGTTATATTTAAAGAATATTGATCTGAGTTCAAATCAATGTAATTCGAAACTATCAATTCAATATGCTTCAGAGAAATAATCTATTGATTTGTTTAATTTTATTGAATTATTTCTCAATTAAATCATTTTACCATGACGTCAAGTTTATATTTTATTTTGAATTGTTAATGTAATTCCATTAACTTTTTATCTGGCCAGTTCAAATCGCATAAAGCGAATATAAAATTATTGTTATATTCCTACGTATCCATAGAAGAATTTGCTTAATTGACTTCCATCTTACGTCGTATTATATATTTTACGCTGACATTATAGTTTACAAAATGTTGCTTTGTAAATTTAACGGTTTATTGCGCTGCAAAATGTCAGCACGTGTCTTAATTCGAAATAAACTAACCACCATGTGATTTTGTGCGTCTTGATATGATCTAACTAAGACAGTTGTCGCCAACCTAATATTGAATCATAATCTAATATTTCTTAATTAATTTTCAAAACTAAATCTGATGCAGTTTTATTTAAATATTTTTACGGTTGTTGATGTATAATAATTCAATCACAATTGTGGAGTTTATTACCAGAGTGGTCTATTCCACAAATGAGGGCTAACTGAGTTACGGGGCGGGTATAGTAAATTTTTTATTGCATAATGTTGCCAAACAGGAATAAACATTATATTTATATCTGTCGTTAAATGGTTTTGAAAAATTTGCTTTGGCTCCAAATTGTTTTGTTTTACGATAACCCAGAATAGACTGTAAAGCTTCCATTTCATTTATATAATGAAAACAACAAGTAGAATAATGTATGGATAAATGGTAATTAGTAGTATGCAAACTGATTGGGAATGACATAAAAACATTTAAAAACAGCAGTTTTTTGACACTTTTTAATGGCGTTCAGGTATATTTGGAAAGATACACTCTGGTTACCAACTCCTCTATTTATAATATTTTATTTCCAAATTTCAAAATATAATTCAATCATTTATATAGCCCATCTCTACTATGTTACAGGTTATTCTTCTACTAGAATTTCAAGAACTACTAGAATTATCAAGTTCACATTAATTTTTTGGTTATTAATGTATAAAATAAGTAGTTGTAAGTGGCATTTTACCTTGAGACAAGTTGCATGAACTTCTGGAGATGTGGAAATAATATACTTGATCAATAAGACTTAATTTACAGCTATTAAAATAACATTTTTTGCTGTAATATATTTATCAATAAGAATTAAGATTTAACTATTTAAATAAAAAATTTTACTGTTTATTTTAAAAACAATTGTTGCTTTTTGTCAAAAACTATTATTACTTTATTACATTTACCTGTATCATATTTCCTTGAATTTAATCCATTTTTAGTTTATCGCTTATTTTATTTATGCTTATGTTAACACAAAGAAGTAAATTTAGTAACAAAATTATTCAGTTTTGAAAATAACCTATATTTTTCATCCCTTATCTTAGAAGCACAACTTACCATGTGATTGACGAATAAACTCGTCATGAGCTCGATTTGGTCGACCCAAAACTGTGATTATTAAAAGTATTATGATTGGTCCTTTGATTTTATCTTGTCATTTATTTACATTATGTTGCCAATCCCTGAATTAAGCTAAACAACAACTTTACTTTTGAATACGCAGTCAAACACACATCCACGTGTGTGATGACATTTCATATGACCTTAGTAAGTTTAGTTGCGGTTACCCTCACATGCGGTGACTATATTTTTCTATTGTTTAAATCAACTTTTATCTGTGATTTGGTCATTTATTTGTCGACGCGTAATTTTGGTTGGGAAAAACACTAGAATTGTGTACATACGATTATTAACAATAAGTTACTTACGAAATAGTAAACGGTAAATGATATGACACACTATTGTTCCTCAAAGTTTAGGCCATTGTACTTTATTCGATTCGCGTAGTAGCGATATATAAATATATTATAGAAATACCAGATCAAAAATCTGTCAAAATTCTGCCCATGAAATTTATATTTTGCATTGATTCAGTCATGCAGCTATTATTTCGTAAAATCCCTTTGAAATTAAAAATAAGACATTGGATTTGTTTGCCTCCTAGCTGTCCCATTTTACCGTTTTTGGGGTAAAATGGTAAAGATGACAAATTTTAGAAAAACAGTAATAATAAAGTCAAATTGGACCTTTGTTCCCCGTGCTACCTCACTGATAAACTGTTTATTGATGCAACAATTCCGCGGAAGGACTATTTTCACTTGGAAACTTATTGCTATCTATATTTCCAAATTACCGATGTCACTACTGCTTGACATCAGCCTGCTCGAAGTAGGTATCGAACCAGGGATTTCTGGTTCTGATCTCGTAGTTCTAGCCACTTCTTTATGAGAGAGCCCAATTATGCCAAAGTAAATTAAAATTTCTGCTGAGGTAGTACTCCATTTTAGTTGTTTTATAGGAACTCTGGTTTTAGTCACCATGAGCTTACAGAAATTTATTAAATGTTAAGTTAGAGAATTTTTAGTCAAAATATTTCATAAATTTAATTTTATGAAACCATGAGTGATATTTCGAAACAATTGTCGATTTATTTATTATTGGATTTTTGAATGAGGCATGCACTATTTAAGAACGTAGTTAGGTGTGACTAAAATTGAAGTGCAGCAAACATATCAATCTGAACTGTCGTAGTGAACACATAAATAATTCAAGCTATGAACTTATGATTGTATACTTACTAGCAAAGTAAAGCTTTTTTGTGGTTCTAATTAAAATACAACATAAAGTTTTAAATTAAGGTTTGAATATCATATAAATAATTTTATATTTTTATAATAATAAATTTAATAACATAAGTTAAGTCAGTATGTAAACTTTAGTAACTTGGTTTGTCGATAAGTGTGAATTTGTGTGATCTGATTAATAATGGTAAAATATCAGTTAAAAAGTGCTTCTATTAAAAATGTACAATATTTGATGAAGTTGTTATCTAAATACTTGTTAGATTTGAGGTGACTATTTTTAAAAACAAAGAAAATTTTCGATGATTTTGTTCATAAATAGAAGAAATTTTCTGAAAGTTTATGTGTAATTGTGTTAAATTTGCTGTTCCTCAGATGCAATTCGTTAAATATTATGTTGCTGCAATTGATTCATCATTTTGTTAAAAGGTGATGTAAATATATATTATGATCCTATAGTGATTTATAAGATGTCTGTTAAATAAGGTGACCATACGTCTTGGTTTGGCCGGGAGTGTCGACACTCCAGGATTTTCACCTTGTGTCCCGGGTTTTCAAGAAGTATAGAAAACTTTTGAAGAAAATTATGAATAAAATTTTATACGAAGATTAGAAGCGAAAAAACATGTACATGTAGATCCAAAAATAATTTATAAAATAATAATGGATTAATAAAGGTTTTACTTAAAAGTCAGTATTTCTGAGTAAAAAAATAAGATTCATTTAGATTTTTATTGTAATTGTTGTTTCAAAATGATATTTACTGCATCCCTCCTCATCCCAGTTTTGATGTTGAAAACTATGGTCACCTTACTGTTTAAGGACTGTCCAATAATCACGTGATCGATTTTTTAAGAATTTTGCACCTCCAACCCCCTTGGTGATACGTGATGGTATTTAAGATCATCTCTTTTTCTCTCACCAAACATCACGTGCATTTTTAGTACCTGGAAATAACCGTAAAATTTAAAAAAAATTAAAAATTGGATTTTTTCTTAAAATTCAGGTAAAAAATCACGTAGTATCTTACTAAATTACCCCTCCCCACGTGATTTTTTGTGATTTTTTAACAAACCCCTATCCTCCTAACCTGATTAATGCTCACAATAACTCACTGTCTAATAACGCTCTCCAATAACTCGCAATTTATCCAATAACTTGACGATTTATCTCCTTATAATTTTGACGATTTAATTTCTATATGTTACAAGATAATTGCAGAAACAACTTTTAATATTATAATTTTCCTTTACAGCAAGGCCCGTCGCAAGGAGCGCGACGGTGACGGTTGTCCAGGCGGCGGTTGCGGAGGCCCTGGTGGCGGTGCAACCGGAGGAGCCGGCGGTGCTGGCGGTGGCGACCCAAAGCTCTACCTCGAGGAGGCGGTGCTCGAACGGAAACTGCCCGATGCTGATCTCAGGCTACTAGTCGACCTGCCGGCGGGTCTGGATTATAACGAATGGCTCGCCAGTCATAGTAAGTGGTTGCTATAGTTACTAATCCATAGTGGATGATGGAATATATGTATTATGATTTAGTTTTGGTGATCAAATGTTAGAAACACTGAAATTGAGTGGGTTTTTAAAATTAGTTTTGAAATACTGCTGGCTTTAAACTTTGTTTAATTTCTTAAATGTATCTATCTAGGTGAAGAAATACACCTCATAAGATAGTTTAATGAAGGCCATCAACTTCTAATGTAGATTTAATACAAACTTACAAATAAGTTTATATAGATAACAATTTGTATCATAGTCGATCAATCCTATTAGATAGACTATTTCGAAAAACTGCTAGAATTCTAGAGAAATTTTATTCATTGTTATTAATTAACTAGATGACCCGACAGACGTTGTACTGTACCCATGTCAACAATTTTTTAATATAATATACTAATATTTACCGTTTACCTAAAAATAATAATTAGTGTTTTTTAAATTACTCTTCACGCCAAAATGCATATACATTTATAATATGAGCGATGTTAAATGTTGAACTGCTTTATATAAAATGAGTCTCAATTCCTACACTATATTGGAAATTGAAGTCTTTTAAACGGTATAACATAACCATAAACATAACATTACACTGGTACTTTATGTTGGATTAAATTAATTTAATTTTTTATTATTCAGGATATCCAAAATTGCATCTTAAACTTTTCCTAATCGATATCGTGAGGGCCGAATTGTATGTATTCATCTTTACTTTCACATTTGTTGTTAGAAAGTGAAAATTTTACGAATTTTAAAAATATTGAATATATATTAAAAAGATTAGTAAAACATGCAAAGAAATTATATTTTGAAAAAAAAAAAACTATATTGAAAATTTAATATCCGAATCTTGTATTGGCGCTCTCTAAGGCGTGCGCTCGTATTTTTCGCATGCATCGCATTAAAGTCCTACCTGCCCTGATTAATACTTAATTTCATATTTTAAATGAATTAATTTGTCAAATCTTATTCATATGTGTATCATTCAATCTGCCATACATATACTATATTTTATTTTATTCTAATTTCTTAAAAAAAATTGGCCAAATTGGTCCAGGCGTTGTTGAGTTAGGCGCTTACCAACACATTTTGCGATTCATTTTTATATATAATAAGATATAATTTATTAACTCAAATTTTCCCGAAGGAGAAGTTTGTTTTCGCGAAAGATAACAGTGTGCTAATTTTGTCTTCTCGACGTTTCAAGCCATTCTGAATCGAATTAATTCAAATTTGGAAAAAGTATGTTAGTGTTAGTGTGTGTGTGTGTATACGTGTGTGCTAGTGAACAGATTTTTGGGCTTTCGTTGCTGTTTTATTAAAAATTTAAAAGTTATTCGATGTAGTTCAATTTGGTTTAACGTTTGACTGTTTTATGGGACGATTAGCCAAGCCGTTTCTTTTTGCCCACGTTTTAGTTCACAATCTTGAATCGATTCGGAAACACGATGATCAGTTTTTAGTAAATATCGGCCAAGTTATTTCTTTGTAAGTAGGGGCGTGAGGTTTTTAGGGCGAGGGGGGCTTGACAAAAAATCACGAAATATCACTTGGGGGAGGGAGGGGTATTGTAAGATATCACGTGTATTTATTTTTTAACTGATTTCAAAAAAAATCTAACATTTTCAAGAAAAAAAAAAAAAATTGAGATTTTCACGCAACTAAAAATACACGTAATGTTTGGTGGGGGAGGGGGGGTTTAATTTTGAATATCACCACGTATCACTAAGGGGGAGGGGGTCCAAAAATCTTTAATAACTATCTCACCTGATTAATGGACGCTCCCTTAAATGTTTAAATGATTTTGTAGTCTGAAATAGCATATTAAAATATTATAGGCCTACGATAAGCGGTTGAATTACAAAAATTCATCAAAGTTTATTATTTCGTCGTGCAAGCGATACTGATCGGAATCGTGGTGTTTCGTAGGGAGCTACTGATTACAGTTAACGGCACTTAAAATGCATTATTAGAGTCTAACATGGATGAAATTAAATGTGTTAAACAAATTAATTTATCTATTATAAGTATGTTTGGAAGACATCAATTGGAAATTCGTTTTTATTATTTTTTAGTGAGAGCAAAAATTTTATTCTGGAAATACTAGTACAATTTTCCTGAATAGCTACATTTCAATTCTTATTGGTTAAGTTGATTATGTACACATATCGGGATGTTCAAGTTACTTACAACTAGTTAAAGTTAATATTTAAGAAAAATCGTAATAATTACATAAAACTTTTATTCTATTGATTAACAGATTAACTAGATAAGCAGTAAAGCTCTTTTATTATATGAAACTTTTAATTTTGAAATAGTGTGTAAACTCGATTATTAGCTTGAAAAGTGTACAAATTGTAATTTTTAGGTAAATGATTTTTATGAAATTGTCATTTACATATGTTTATTAAATAATTTTATTTACCAATTGATGTTACTGAATTTCGAGTATATTCAATGTTGCATTCTCCACTTTCTTCTACTTTATATTTATTCTTAGAACTCCTAGATAGTTATAAGAATTTAATTAGGTTTACCGAAAACACTCGTGTGGTCTTTGATATATTCTGTGAAATTCCGTGAATATCTGTGATTTTATTATTCATCTCTTGGACTCAAAATGAATCGTTTCCTGGAAAGAAGAAATATTCTGTAACAATACTAGTTTTTGTATTCAACAAAATTTTTTTGAGTGTGTTCCAGTTGATTTGATTTGAATAAAATTATTTGTGACTTTATTGGTTTGATCATGACATGCAAAACTAAGAATACTTTTGCTTTTATTTCGTTCTGGAATTTAACACATTTTTAAACAACTTTTGGAGTGCAATAATGTAATTTTTATGCGAGAATATGTAGACTTAGTGCAACATTTCAAAATCGTATCAAGTAGAAAAGGGCCTATACGGTGCTCTATTTTTTCACTAGGTTATATCATAGATTTATTTCTTGTTTTTATAAAACAATAGGCTGTAAAATTATTTTTCTTTGTTGTTACACAATAGGGCATACATAGCGTAACAAACATAAACGATAAATATGTATACCCATACAATAGAACTAGAACTCCTTCCTTATACAAATATCTCGACATAAACTATGCTGGTAATAAAACATGTTATTTTATTTGAAGGATTGCAATAATATTGTAGCTTTTATTTATTACTATTTTGTTGACCCCATATTAAAGTATATAAGTAATATTAGTAATCATAATATACATGGACTTTGTGAAAATCTCTGACTTTGTATATATTTCATATGCAAAATAGAAGTATTTGTATAGCTGATGTGTGTTATTTCATAATGTAAATTATTTTTTTTTAAATGTTTTATTTAAAAACAATCGTTTCGTCAAAACAAGTAAAAAGTTTTTAAAATCATTCAAATCGGATGTTTTGTTCTCTCAAAAACTTTGCTAAAAACTAATCACCACTTCTCCCTATCATTATGAATTAAATGTTTTTCTAGTCATTCAAATCGGATGCCTGGTTCTCGCAAAAACCGAGTTTCCATTTTCAGCACTCCTTTCTTCGTATCTTGGAAACGTCTCGACCGATCTTGCTCAAAAACTAATCAGCACTAATCTCGATCAGTAGGAATCGATTACTTTTTCAATCATTCAAATCGGTTGGGCGGTACTCTAAATCTTCGATGAAAAATTGTATCCACACATACATATACACACACACATCAATTTTTTCTGAGGTATTCCAAAATGTTGAGAAACCTCAGAAACGTGAAGATAAGCATTATTACTTAAGCATATTTACTTAAATCTAAAGGCTCATTACTATAACTAACTCTAAGGGCAGTTCATAAAATTCTTGACTTGTCAAGACGATTTTATAAAATATTTTTCTTAAAAGTATATAATTCAACGGTGAATAACATTTATCTGATTTAGATTAAATTGTATTATCTTGTATAGTCTGATCAACCATTTCATATATGATTATAATTTAGGTTATATAGTTTAATTGCATATATCAACCCACAGCTCACTTTGATAAACTTTATTATTGATTTAGATAATTAGGCCTTAAAAGGTAATATATTTTACTGACTTGATATAATATCGGGAACATTGAATTAAATATATTAAAGACATTATGGGACAAATTCTTAAATGAATAAGGTATGTTATGGTATTGCTATGTTACGGGTCTATATTCGTATGAGGTGGTAGTGAAGAACAATATATTTTCTGTGCCATCATGCGTTTCACACATAAAACCTAACCTACAAATCGTACAATTGTTAAATAAAAAATTTATCATAAGTGCAACTTTCTGATGTCTTTTTGATAACACGTACGTGAAGTTAGGTTTTATGTGCAAAACATCTGATCTCACAGAAAATACATGTATTTTTGCTAGTTTATTACTAATAACTTATACGAATATAGACCCGTAAGATAGCATTACCATAACATACCTATTTTATATGAAGATTGACGCCTTTATTGTTATGAAATTATTAATATAAGTTATTTTGATTGTAAAATTGTTAACTAAAGTCATTTCAGACATTTACTGAACTTGCTCATTGTAATTTACATTTGATGAAATCTTTATTTTTTTTCTCTCGTTGAAACAATGTAATTGCATTTTGGGTATGGACTTGCTAAAAGAGTGTACCATTGAAATCGGAGCCTTAGGCTTTATTTCATTACATTTTCATGAAATATAAATATATTTAATATATCTCTGTCTGTTTATTCTAAAATAAAATGAGTTGGCATTCTGAAATTTCTTACGCAAACTGCAAACAATTCAAATATATTAGACGTAAATGTGTTTGATGTGCAACCACTTTCAAGCATTTATCTATCTAAACAAAGATTTGTAATATGAAAAAATCTATTTTGCAAGTGTTTAGTATGTTGAATTGTTAAAAAAAAGTAACCTTTAAGCAACTAAACTTGCGTGAATTAAATCAAACATGAGCAAATAAAAACAAATTTAAAATTTCTAATGT